CCTGTGCCAACCTGATCCACACTGGCAACTTCTTTGGTCCCCAGTCCATGATGGTTGTCGAGGATAAGGTTGCTGCAGGATCAATGAAAGTGCGAAAGGGGAGCCAGACCTGCCTCGTTCAAGGAGGTACTTTCCAGCCAGGAGAGCATTCAGGGTCTCAGAGAATCCAGGAGGGAGTGAAGGTGGTTAAGGGGGCCAGAAGAGGTAAAGAGTCCCAGAGGAGGTCTCCAGGTTCCAAAGAGGTCCCTACAGCCAAGGCATCCCGTTCACTGTCTGTCGGAGCAACAAGCATTCTGTAAATTTTGGCAATGCAACTTCTCAGTGATGTTTTTCACCATCACTCTCTATGTCAGCATGTCAGCTTTTTTGGTAAAGTGTGCTGCTGCCGTTTAAGAATTAAGGTGTACCATGTTGTATGTTGTGCTTTACTTGAGTAGGGAACACAGAATAGGTGAAACAATTTCCACAATATTATTGATTGCCCCTAAGGTAAAAACACATCACTATATACCACTCTAACAACCTAAATTGAGCTTAATCTGAAACTGCAGGTGATTAATTAATTCACAAAGTGCCTCATTCCCCTGACATGAGGCTGCCACACAGGCCACACTCATTTAGAAGGTAACCCAGGAGTTGCCATTTTAAAGGCCATTCAGTTGCTTGACTTTTGGCAGACAAATTCTATAAATATATAATTAAAGGAAACTCGTGTAACCACTTTGACGCATGCTAGCTGTGTAATGTACAGAGGGCATGCACAGTGGTTCATGTCTTTTGACAAAACATTTCACAGAACTGGCCCCACACCTGGCAGGTCAACCTCCTCACCTATTTCTCTCCATATATTAATGTTCCTGTTTTTGTTGGAGTAATGCTCCATACATGTATAATGTGATGGTGATAAACTGATGCAATTAGCCTCTCTCCCATGGCTGTAGTTTCCATCCATTTGTAAAGAAATGCATTTCTTTTTGTTGTAATGTAATTTAGGTAACTTTATTATGTGCCTATTTTTTTTTAAACATTTGCCTAATTTCAGTGTGAGAGTTTCTACTGCTGTTTTGCAGCTCTCCTCTGCATCTCCTTCTCCGCTGCCTGTTCAGCTCCAATCTATGTGTGTCTGTTTCCACACAGGTTTGCTCAGTTGCCTGTGTTATACTCTGTAACGAGTGTAGCATGCAAACTGTAGAAGTGTTTAAATAGACCGCAAAGAGCAGGACTGACATAGCGAAGCAAAGGAGAGACAGGTCGAGTGAAGATAATGTTAAACGTGTTAAACAACTCGTTACCATTCGTTGTATATTACAATGCTAGTGTGGGCTAATTGTTGTGGCTAGATTATTTTTGTTAACTCCCATCTAGACAACTTCTATGGTTTCTGGTTGTAATTGAAACCTGAAGGCAGGGGGAAGATGTTGTTGACATGCTATTTTGTTTTTGTGTGAGATGCTAGTGCTTTAGTGGCTTCCAGCCGGTCGGAATGTCACATACAGCAGCTTTAATATGCACTGTGCAATCTATCATGAGTTGCAACCTTTCGTTCTCTATACATGTGTGCAAGGGGCTAGGGTGCTATTTGTTTTCCTACCGAGCAACAGTTTTTTTATATTGGAAAATCCTTTTCTGTTCACTTGCTTTTACATTATTTAAATGTTTGTACGATTTAAATGAATTCAATATCAATCATAGTATGTGCACTAAATCTTGCGACAATTGAGGTCTTGAATGCTTTTCAGTATACATTTAATAGATGGTAATGTCTGATATATGTTTGTGTTCCCTTTTCTTTAGTGTGTGTGTGCACATGTTTATGGTACTGGAATACATTTTGGCCTGATGTCAGTCTAAAGGATGACTTGTGTGAAGTTTTAATGCTTACTTTAATAAAGATCTTTGTAAGGAACATAAGGTCAAGCGTTTTATGTTCATTTGTGTCTGCATGAGGATGTATTATTATTATATATATATAGGTAAGATGTCAACTAATCAAATCAAACTTTATTTGTGTAGCACTTTTCATACACTAGAGCAGCCATTCTCAACCTTGGGCTCCTGACCCCAACTGGGGTCGCGAGATTATTTCTGGGGGTCGCCAAATCATTTTGAAAAAAAATATATATGCGCAAAATTAATGTAGCTTCCGACCGGACATTAGAGGAACGACGAGCGGTTGGTCTCAAACAGGCATTTTTACTCAAAACCAGTTACTGTCGGGCATAACTAGACTACACCAAAACAACAACGAACCTGTCCACTGGCTTCGTCTCATCTCTGCCCTTGTCATTCACACATCATCGGAGCAAAGATTTTTTTTCTCCCCGGTTTGCTGTCAGCAGGAGCGGCAGCTGCAGAAAGCGTTCACAGACAGTCTGAAATCGCAGAACTTAAACTTAAACATTAGGCTACTTAAACATTAGAAAAGTAAGGGTTATTGCATTAATATAAAATTACATAATTTCAAACAGAGTTGTTTACTGCTTCATTGTTTGTCCAAAATTCATTGTATCAACGCAGCGTTTGTATGAGATTCTGATCTGTGCGTGTGAGATTATGGTCAGTGAAGCACTGCGGTGGAGGGGCTTTAAAGATTAAAAAAAAAAAAAACAGGCGCGTTGTTGTTGTTTTAGCCAACTCTGCAGCAAGTTTGCTAGCTGGAGAAATGGAGCGATGACTTAAAAGAACAGACATGCATGCTAGATTGGGGGTTGCGACTGAAAAAGGTTGAGAACCACTGCTGTAGGGGATCATGGCTGTTATCCGCATTTTGTTGGCCATCCTCTAACTGACGGAGCAATTCGCCAGTTACTGGATCTGATCCTCCAGCTGTATCTGTTGCACATGTGGGCGGTCTGCCAGCATCACTGGGGGCAGTGCACGGAGATCCAATCTCCCTATCACAGCATATTCAGGCAAGAGGTCCATGGGAGAGTCATTTGTGGGAAGAGGATTTTGGGACAGGGCGTCAGGTACTTTGTTACGTTCACCAGGCTTATGAACTATACTAAATTCGAAGTCCTGGGGACGAAGAGACCATCGGGCCAGCCTGCCAGAAGGGTTGGGACGAGACATCAGCCATTTGAGGCTGCTATGGTCTGTGAATACAGTCACATGAAGGCCTTTGACATACGGCCTGAAGTGTTCCAAAGCCCACATGACGGCCAAACAGTCCTTCTCTGGAGTTGAGTGTGGTTTTTCAGACTTATGTAGAGCACGGCTAGCATATGCCACTGCAACATTTCTGTCTTCATCGTCTCTCTGCATTAGCGCCGCCCCAAGACCTGCAAGGCAAGCGTCTGCATGGATGAAGAAAGGACGTAAAAAGTCTGGGAATCTCAGTACAGGTGCTGAAGTTATGCTACCTTTCAGGAGATCCACGGCTGTTTGGCATTTGCTGTCCCAGTTGAACTGGACCTCTTTTTTTGTGAAGGCAAAGAGTGGCTCAGCATGTTTGGCATAGTCTTGCACAAAGCGGCGATAATAACCTGTTAGGCCAAAAAACTGTCGCACGTGCTTCACAGTGGAGGGCACCTTGAATTCCGTCACGGCTTTTACTTTGTCTGGGTCTGGGCATATGCCAGATGGTGTGACACGGTAGCCAAGGAAGGTCAGTTCACTGACGCAGAACTGACACTTGCTCAGTTTCAAGGAGACCGGCTGACTTCAGCCTGGCGATGACTTCTCCCAGGTTTGTCAGATGTTGCTCAAAGGTGGGTGAAGCAACAACACTGTCATCCAGGTACACTGCACAGGACTTGTATATGAGGCCAGCAAGGACTGAGTTCATGAACCTCTGAAAAGTGGCTGGCGCATTGCAAAGACTGAAGGGGAGGACTCTGAACTGGAAGAGGCCACAGTGCATGATGAAAGCAGTTTTTGCTCTGTACTCCTTAGCAACAGCCACCTGCCAGTAACCTCAAGCAAGGTCCGGGGTGGTGAGAAACTTCCCTCTGGACAGGAAGGCAAGAGACTCGTCAACTTGTTGTAGAGAATAGGAGTCTTTTACAGTCAGTTGATTGAGACCCCGAAAGTCTCTTTCTGGAGATCTGAGGCGCTTCCAAGTACAGTCTGTGGAATCCGCTTGCGAACAGCTAACCAGGAGCCATCACCGTGTCCACCGGGTCGTCTACCACAGCTACCAGAGGGAAACTCCGTAGCATGTTGCTCCACCAAATCCAGAGAGTGCAGAAAGTTCAGTCAAAAGCTGTTTCTCGGGCCGTCTGCGCTGCGACACTGTTGCGTTTGCCTGCCATTACTTTGATCTTGCCAACAAGTGCAGTAAAAGTTAACGTAGTCCAAAACGGTGAAAATGATGGTGACAATCCATCCATCCATCCATCCATCCATCCATCCATCCATCCATCCATTGTCTTCTGCTTATCCGGGGTCGGGTCGCAGGGGCAGCAGGCGAAGCAGGTCGTCCCAGACCTCCCTCACCCCAGCGACGCTTTCCAGCTCTGCATGGGGGATCCCGAGGCGTTCCCAGGCCAGCCAAGAGATATAATCCCTCCAGCGGGTTCTGGGTCTGCCCCGGGGTCTCCTCCCAGGTGGATGTGTTCGGAAAACCTCCAGAGGAAGCCTCCCCGGTGGCATCCGAATCAGATGTCCATGCTACCTCAACTGGCTCCTTTCAGCGCGAAGGAGCAGCGGCTCTACTCCGAGCTCCCTCCGGATGTCCGAGCTCCTCACCCTATCTCTAAGGCTGAGTCCAGCCACCCTGCGGAGGAAGCTCATTTCGGCCCCTTGTATCCACGATCTCGTTCTTTCGGTCATGACCCAAAGCTCGTGACCATAGGTGAGGGTTGGGACGTAGATGGACTGGTAAATCGAGAGCTTTGCCTTGCGGCTCAGCTCTCTCTTCACAACGACAGTCCGGTACAGCGCCCGCATTACTGCTGACGCTGCACCGAGCCGCCTGTCCATCTCACGCTCCATTTTCCCATCACTCATGAACAAGATCCTGAGATACTTAAACTCCCTCGCTTGAGGAATTTAAAAAATCTGTTGTAAACACTACATCTCACAGCAGTAATTTTTTACATAAAATATATGAATAATAAAGAATTGTTCACTGTAAAAAAAAAAAAAAAAAGGGTTGAATTAAAGATGTTTTAAGTGTTTCTCCAAACACTGGTAATGAGTTAAAATTTAAGTAAGCTCACTTCTACAGTTAAGTATTGTCATGAAGCGTGCAGACTCTTTCCATGGAGTTCAACCATTTATTACACTTCGTGACAACATGAACAGATCGCTGAGTGCAGTCTAGCTGTTGCTGCTTCTCTAGGGTATTGACGGGGGAACAGAATTTTTTTTTAAGTATTGACAATTTGAAACGACACACGCACCGGATCAGGTGGACTCATAGACTGTGTAGAAAAATGAAGGTGAGTGGACAGCGTCTGGTGGCAGCGCACACCGCCCTCCTGTTTGACCAATCACAGCCTTCATGCTCTCACGGAGGCTGACAGAGAAGGGATGGAAACAAGAGCTCTCACTCTGCCACTACTCTCGGCTACCAAAGAGAACAGACATTCATCTCCCACTTGGACTAGCCTGTTTGACTCTCAACAAAATGAACGAAATTTTCCCACTATATTGTAATTAGTGCTGTAAAAGCTTTTCCAAACTTTACCAAAAAGACATATTATACAATATACTGCCAGAAACGCTTTGGTATTTTGTTGCTGAATGCAAGTAAAATCCTGTTACTGAAATAACATCAGACAAAACAAAAATGAATTTAGCTTAAGCACCAGATTACTTCACTATCATGAGTCAGGTTTATGGAAAAGAAAAGCCAAACTGAGGAATTAATCAGAAAATGGATCAGGGGTGTATCTTGTTACCAGACTAGAGTGCATTTTTTCCCCACTGAGTGATGTCTTTACTTCATAGACGATCTTCACACTTTGATTCACAGTGCCCTTCCTGGTTAGTCACAACAACAGTGATGGCGGCTGCTGCACGGTTCTTCATCCGAGGTTCAAACTTGAAACTTTCCCTCTCCGGTGTTGGCACCGGGGCTCAGAGCTCGTATGGGGCCTCCCCGTTAAAACTGTCACCCAGCTGTAATTCGCGTACAAAAACACAACGAAGACATGCAGCACACTTTACCTTCCAGCCTGACCCCGTCCCGACACAATACGGTGAGTGGCTGGTTAGCCGGCTAGCGTTAGCTAAGTTTGTTCGCATGAACAGGTAACACTTTTTTTACGATAACACCGGACGTTTCCGTTGTTTAACCGTAGAAAAAAACAAAAAGCAAAAAACTGAGACACCTTTTAGCAGAACTGTCAACACTGTGCTGCATACAGGCGTTTTCTATTCGGTTGTCAAGTCGGAATGGGGAAACCAATGTCACCGTCAGTACAGCTTTGAACTGAAACTTTCAAAACGCTTGGATTAATAATGATAAGACATATCTGATATATATACTTTTTCCACATAAAAACTTACTTTCGAAGTGTGAAAGTTGTAAAATTATATGTTATTACATGTGTATTATTTTTCCCTTTTTGAAGACTCCAGTATTTATGCTTTGATCTAAACACATTATCATTTGCACATTTCTGTAACTCTCTTGTACATTCTTGTAAATTTAGTTGACTTTCTTCAATATTATATTTTCTATGTATTTTTATTTATTTTTTTAATCTTATTTTATTTGACATTCTTTTTTTAACCTTCATTTTATACTCCAATATTCTGTGTTGTCTTTTGCTTTGTTTACCCCCTCTGTTGAACATTCATGCTGCTTTAACAACTGAATTTCCCTCTGGGATTAATAAAGTCAGTCTAAGTTATGAATAACTACTGCTCATGTGCAGGGTTCACCTGTTAGACACATGATGTCCTCCTCTGTTTTATCACTTGTCACACTGATGTTGGGCCATGATTTGCACCAAAGTAGTTGCCATGTCACAGTAATCCCCTCACCCGTTTAAATTGGGCACAGAGGAACCTTCCAACTTCAGCAGGGAAAAGTGAAGCAGTCTATGAGTATGAATCTCTTCCCACGCTCCATCATGTTGCACAGACATGCAAGAAAAAACACTTTATGAGCAGAGGTTGACTTTAAAAGTCCACCATCTGACCTGTTTGCCTATGTATGCAGTAGTGCAAGTTACTGGTAGCGATCACTGAACTCAGTGTTAAAAGGTTACTGCTGCTAATAAGCTCTCTCAGCAGCGTGACTTACTATTTAGCATAATTAAACAAAAGGTTAAGAAGATTATTTGGCTGATAGCCAAACTAAGTAATCTATGCTGGCTGAAATAAAAATACTACATGATGGTTCATTTAGATGTGTGTTGATTTGCATTTGGTTGCTGTAGCTTTCCAGCATAAAAGTACTTTTGATTTGACTTCATTGCATGACAGAATGTAACTCATATGTTTCTTCTGTTGATAGTCCCAAACAAGCGTTGGCTCATTTTCTGCCCTGCAGTAAATTTGACCAGGAAGTTGGCACTTGTAACTAACCAACTAACATTACTAACATTTTTACTGGATCCAGAAAAACAACACAACAGAACTGAGAAATTACTGGTATTGTGTCTGTGACAAAGAAGCGTCTGGCAGGAGACAGTGAGTCTTTGCCAAGTTATGTAATTATTTTTTCCTGCAGTAACTGGTATGGTGAGTTACAGTTTAGTTCAGCAGTGTACTGTTTGTCAACTCTGAATGTAGTTTACATGCAAATTATTGTGTGGGTGTGTTCTTTAAAGGTTTTTTTTTGTTTGTTTTTTTTTGCTATTATTAACTTTGCTAAATTGTCTTTTAGGCCCTACCCAGAAGATGAACTTGTTCCAGTCAATAACAAGTGCCTTGGACAACACTCTCTCTAGTGATCCTACAGCAGGTAGGACACTAATGCAGGAAATGGAGGTCATGCAGTCTGTAAAACATCAGTCCTGGTAACCATCTATAGTTTTAAAAAGTATGAACTGCTTGCTCAGGCTCTTGTATATGTAATGTGCATTACATACAGTGTGCATTTGCTCATTAAATGCACAATCTAAGTAATGCATAAATAAGAAATACAGATCTATGGTGTCTCCTCATTCTAAGCACTTCTTGCTGCAACTCCATACACTGTCCAATAAATTCCCTGTAGAGTTAAGTAGTGTGAGAAGCTGTTACAGATGTCTCTGGTTCTGGAAGTAAAAATCCTATTAATTTTTCCCCCAGACGGTGTTATGTGTTATGACACCTAATAATTTGTGCTCATCTACAGCTTGAGTTGCCAGGAAACTGCCCCAGTTAAATCATCAATCCAAAACACGACTGAATTAGAAGATATCTGGTTCTTCAATTAAAAATTTGAAGGTACAAGTCCAGTTTCATAAAGCAGCTGTCATTTCCATAGTGAATTTTAGCAAGAAGCATCTTAAAAGCTTAACTTTTAGTCAGTTTACATTAAGAGGTTGGAGAGGTAGATTAATCCAGCAATTAAGGCATTATATTATGTTCACAAATTCAGCAGTGACGTGTTCCCTTTCCTTGGCAACAGCAGCCAGCTCATACTGGTGTATTTAAACTTGTCTGACATGCAACAAGTGACATGTAAAACATTATTTCTGATAAAGGGCATTTAAATTATTAAAAGTGGTGGACGTAATCCAAACCCGTAGAGTTGTTACATTATCCAGGATAGTTCTGTTGTAGCAAGGACAGCAATAAGAATATTTAGGATATAGATAGATATAGAAATGTAGCGTGAGGCTTAATCACTTGTGGAACCAGCAACCCCCTTCGCTTCACTACTTAGCCTTAAAAGGTAAGAAATGTTGCTTGATCACTTGCCAAGACTGTTGAGCTCCAATCAGAGAGCTGTCAGCAGGGATCGTGGCATGTTGTTTTTCTTTTCCACATCTCACGTTGTGATTTTTACTTTTGAATGTAACTGTTACTGTTTACTGTTGTTTTCTTGTCTGCTGAGGAACATACACCACTGACTGCGTCCTATTGTTTGTCTGCAGTCATCTTTGGGGAAGATGTTGCCTTTGGTGGAGTCTTCCGATGCACAGTGGGTCTGAGAGACAAATATGGTAAGATGCCGTTTTAAATTCCCCCATCTAAAAGTCTCAGTTGCTAAGTCTGTAAAAACTGTCAGCAACCTGCTCTCCAGTTTGTGTGATGCAATTTTGCAACTAGATGGCAGCAGAGTACTGCAAAGAATCTGACCAGTCACCGCTCTTGCAAGGTTAAGTTGCTGCTCACTGTTCACCTAGAGGACCAGAAGGATCTGTTTGCACGTACAGTATGTGTCCGACGGACAGACAGACAGACAGATGTTTAGACACGTCAGAACAGGGAAAGCACAGGTGTAACTGATAACATTTCACCTTTAATATCAGGCAGCACTTACTGGGACACTTAAATGCAGAAGAGCCATTGTTAATGTTAGTCACACCTGTTTGCACACTGCAGACAGTGCATAGGTCTTTGCTGCTTTTGTGAAGTCCTCTTTTCGCTTACAGTGAACCAGAGAGTTTCTACATTAATTTTATGGCAATATCAAGGCTGTAGTTTGTTGTGTCCTCATAATCCATTATGTTATAAGATTAGATAGTTCAAGAGACGCTGTATCAATTTACATGATCTTTTTTCCCCTTTTTTTTCTGTTTTTTTGTGCTTTCACTGTAATTTGAGCTCTTAAAGGATCTATTGGCACCAAATTAAACTATTCAGAAGCTGTAGCTGCACCTGCCATAGTAGAAAAATGATATGTGTAACTGACATACCATAAGAATAAACAATGACTCGATTCTGTTTAAGTGTCCCAGTATTTTATGACAGAGCACCAGTGTGCACAGGACCTAAAGCCAGGCAGACACTGTGTGGTTTCTGATAAATGTTGTGTCGACTTACACTACCCGTTTTAATCAGCCACTAACCCTGAAACCTCTGTTGTCACACTGCTCTCAGACTGACATTTGGTCGACCGGTCAGAAAACACTAATTAATGTGCATTTCCATCCACTACCGAAAGAGTGTGAAACACTAGATGGTGCTAACCCTGCAGGCAGGTGCTAACATTTATCGACTGCAAAAGAAGAGATCACTTAATTAAAAGTGTCTATCAAACCCCAAATGAATAAGAATGGTGTGTAAAATGTGCAGTTGATTTTGATTGATTTGAGGAGGGTTGAAGTCTTTTCACAGGTCCACACAGACCTAATGGTTTAGTCTGCTCTATGTGTCTTTACCATCAGCGAGGCAAGAGTTTTAGAGGATGAGTCACATGCTTCATGTATGTCATCAGTTAGTCTGCAAATGTTGCATTTTGCTTAAATCAGTGCATGACGTTGTCCACTTCTACCAAGCATACAATCCTATTTTTATGTTTCTAGTTGAAAGAAGTAGATGAAAACACTCTTAGTCCAACTCTCATGCATGATGAAGGCTAGCACATACTGCAGCTTATTTTTAGAGATATGTTATTCATTCATTTATTATTATTATTGTTTAACCCTCTGAACCCAGAAAAACCCAGACTGCCAAAATGTCACCATGTGTCAGCCAGAAACTGTGAATACTCAAAGAATCGCCAGATCTGTGATGTGCACTTCCGTCGTGAAAATTGCTGAAATCTAAGTTTAAAATTGTGGTATTTCATCAGTCACTGTGTTATTTAAACATTTGCCAAAAGTTAAAATGTGACCCATCTGCACAAAATCAGTCACATTGCTCCTGATGGTATTTGACAACAATATGGAGTGTAATATTGTAATATGATGTTACCTACATGTAGAAAGCAACTAAATGGACCGATCTAAGTAATAAACCCTAAATAAATATTTTATCAGGTGTTAATGTAATTCGGGCTGTATTTTAGATATACGATGGAAGATGGGTCACAAATGCTTCGTAGTAATCAGCTTCTGTAAAAAACAAGAAACTTTGTACCTGGGAAGCCACTAGCGGGCCGAGCTACAGGTTGTGTACACAGTGCAAATAAGGGGAAAAGTAAAAAAAAATAAAAAAATAAATATGATAAAATTATAAAACATATAGAGTCAACACTTTGTTCCAGTCTTGCAAACACCTGCGGGCACTTGGGAAAATGTTGTATACATTAATTCCAGATTTTTATTTTTATTTTTAGAGAGAAAAAAAAGCATTCAAAGAAATTCAGTTTTCGATTCCTTCTTGTTTCTTCTTTTTTTCTTTGCTATTTTGTAATTCTTTGTACTTCTTGCCATTTTTGTGACATTTCTGTAGAGGTTCGGAACTATAAATTGCACAAAAAAATGAGCCCACAGTGAGTATAAAAGTAACAGGAGCAAAAACCACCCAGAAACTCCTTGAGGTTCAGAGGGGTAAAAGCAACTGGTAGCTCCAGTTTTGCTGTATAGTTGACAATCGTAAAAATACAACTGTTAGGGTGCAGAAATATTCTAATGACATGGCAACAGCTTCTAAATAGCATTAAGCTGCCCTTTGTGTCTTCAGAGTATGGAGACTCAGCTCAATTGTTCTTTCTTGTTTATTGTTGTAATGAAATAATTACATGTAAATAAATGGTCTTTCTTATTTGAGTTCTTTTTCAGTTTATTTTTTATGTTTTTTTTTTTTTTCTTTATAGCGAAGAGTCTCAAATCCGTTCCACGGTGGCCAGCTCTGCCTTTTGTTTTCATTGACGTCAGGAGTGTTGACCTTTGGAAAGGGATCATTATTTTCCATCTCATCCTTGTGTACAGTGACGAACGCAAAGCTGTTTTTATCCCTCTCACTACTGAAAGGGATTGTGCACACCTCTGCCACCCGCGGCCATTACACAGAACAGAGGCTAATGCAGGGTGGACACTATATGAATGGCTTTTTACGAGGCGGATGCATTCACCTCTGAGAGTCAGCTCTCCACCTCTGGCTGCTTCTGTTTCCCTGAAAGCAGCAGCAGACACTGACTGTGCTCTGACTAGCTCTCCCTCACGCTGATGGGTTTAGCCTTTTTTACCGAAGGCAGCGACGGTGTCAGACAGCTAACTATAAAAGTTACATGCTGGCTGTTTAAAATTGCATTCTACACTCACTTGAACAACTGAGGCCCAAACATCAACACGGATGAGTTATTTTCACATCACTTCGTTGTATTTTATTTTTTTTTGTCATTGGTTGATTTACTGCTCATTGCTTTGATGACACACAGAAGCACACACACATGTTATTTACTGTCACTTTCACATGAAGCTGCATAGTTGAGGTCGGCTACAGTCTGAGCAGTAAGGCACTAAATTTTGATCACTTAATTGTTCATTCCTCCAAGGGTTTGTGGTGCCGTGCTTGCTAATTGAACTTTTTGAACGCAAAGGGCACATGAGGGCAAAGTTTCACTGCTGAGAAGCACACTTCCCAGCACAGCAGAAAAAGACTGCATTGGCAAATACACAGAGATGAGGGCAAAAATAACATTCTTAACCCAAATTTAGAGTCCCACTCCTGCGGCTCTTTTTCAGATTATAGGGTGGAGAATGGGAAATAGTTTTCCTTCTTCTGTTTTACTCCGTGGGGGTTGTGTGCATCGCAGGCTTGGTTAGCTACAGCTGAGGAGGAGTCACCAGCTTGTCACTTGGTTTATTTTAGAACCACATGGCATTGTAACAGAGCGTATTCTTGGGAGTCTCATCAGTCATCAGTGTGAGAAGTGTCAGAAAAAACAGACTATTTCCCACAATTGTGTTGACTCGTCCCAAGTGAATTATTATGTTCTCTGGGCTGTTAAGCAGTCCCAGCCTGAATGGTGGCCATCACACCTTAAACCTTCAATTTTTTGTCACCTTCCTCACTCCGTACCCTTGTCTTCTATTTTTCCCCAAGGTAAGGACAGAGTCTTCAACACTCCCCTGTGTGAGCAGGGCATTGTAGGGTTTGGGATCGGTGCAGCTGTTGCTGGTGCCACAGCAATTGCTGAGATCCAGTTTGCTGACTACATCTATCCTGCATTTGACCAGGTATGGCACACTTCCTTGCTTAATGACATACTAAAAAATGAACCCTGTGTTAGCACAAGGCTAGTCTCTCATAGTCGGGTCTATTAGCACTGGAGAATGGTCTGCTGCACATCACACTCATTCTGCTGATGCCTCTGTGAAATAGTGATAAGGGAATTGTTTTGAATTAAACACTATTTTCAGCACAAAATATAAGGCCAAGCTTAGTCTCTGGCTTGCTTTGTGACTCAGTGACAATCTTATACTTGGCCTTTTTGAAAAAGAAATTGATCATGTTATTCACTAATGAAAGTGGAAGTAAGAAAATAAAAGGGACAGAGGGAAAATCAATTAAAATACATTTTTGCACTGTTGGATCTCCCAAATGGTCAAACTTAACTCCACTGATGTTTGCATCAAACTGTAGTTAAATATCTTGAGGAATACTCCTGCATAATTGATGTCAGTTGTGTCAGCGTCAGTTAGGCCTAAAGACTTGACGCTGGAAAAGGAAAAAATGTTGGTGTGTTTACTTTGAGTCTAAATTTGCTGCTACTGGTACAGCAGAATAATCTGTAGTCAAGTTGTTCTCTGCATAAAGTAAGCACTAGAATAAGGGAAACCATGTAACTGCTGTTGTGCTGCATCCTTTTTTGAAGAACTGTTTGTGAGTCTTAGCTGGAGGAGAATTCTTGACAACATATGGCCAGATTTTAAAATGACTATGCCATGAACCTGTAGCCTTGGAGATTTATCTCACAATCCCTCAAGCTGAATGTCTGTGGTCCCGCTCAATAAAATGAGTCTAACAGCAGAGGATCTAATCATGTAATATTTTCTTTCAGATATTCTGCTATTAATATGTATTTTCATTAGTAAGGCCGCAAAGAATGAACAACATTGCTCTCTGCCTTGCTTTTTAGACGTGCCTTCCATCTCGTTTGAATAGCGTATTTGTTGTAGCACACCTTGAATGTCTATTGTTTCATATAAAATTGGTTGAACAAAAGAAGCCCTTTCTCCTGCTTTGGTCCTTTGCTGAGGAAGAGTAATGTGGCATTAACAGGCTAAGCAGGACAGTGGGCAATGCTGCTGTTTTTCCATGCATACATGCTGACACTCGTGTCATTCAGCGTATTCTCGCCCTCCGCAAGATTAATGTGAGTCCCTGCTGCTATGTCAAGGCAACATAAAACAAAATATGTGATAATGGAGCCTGTTTCTAAGAGCCTCCTGTTGCAATGCAGAGAAACAGTAGATTAGGCCTGGTGTCGGACCTTGAGTGGGCTCCCTTTCTCCTTCTGTGCTCTCGCTTAAAATGATGCAGTCCAAGTCGACCTTAGAGAGACATAAAACCCGGATTAACAGGCCACCTGAGTTTCAGGGTGGAAGAGTTGGGACACTTTTTTGGAAGAAGCTCAGTATCAGAAACTTTAGACGTAACAGAAACTCGAGACAATTGAGGTGATGGTGCTCGTTAAAAGTAAAGTACCTCTTTAATATCTTTAAGGGGAATAACAGAGAGAATGGCTCCCCCTCCACTGGTGTTGCTTATTCAAAAAAAAAAACAAAGAAAGGACTCTGTCTTTTAGGAGGTTTAAAATAGTTACATTTAAAATTAAATAATGTTTTGACTTTCTTTTCTCGTACTGAACCTTATTGTTTGTGCTGCTACAATATGTCAGGGGTCTCACAAAGATCTGCAGAGTTCTGTCTGTGTCTGACTTCTAATAGTCTAATGAACCTTATTGATATCTTTCCAGATAGTCAATGAAGCAGCCAAGTACCGCTACCGTTCTGGCAACTTGTTTGACTGCGGGAACCTCACCATCCGGGCTCCGTGGGGGTGTGTCGGCCATGGATCTCTTTACCACTCTCAAAGCCCTGAAGCCTTTTTCGCCCACTGCCCTGGTATTAAGGTTAGCCCTGCTGCTCATTACAGACTCTGACACGTCTGTCTTTCCCTTCATATTTTGTTCTTTTGTTTGTTCAACAGTGAAATATCTTCTCCTCATAGAAATGATGATATAAGCCAGTCCAGTGAGAGCTGTAGGATTTGTCACACTCTGTCATCTCTAACTTTGTCAGTAATCACCCATTTTAAATATCATTACCCGAACACACTGGACTAACTTTGAAAAAACCGGAGATGCAATAGGTCCCCACTCATAGTGAATGCATTCTGAAAATGACAACACAATACAGACTCCAGAGTCACTTTGCAGTGCACCCTGGAGCAGCTGAGACAAATTCAACTTTCTGTTCTCCAACAACCAATCACACTTGTTATGAGCCACTTGGAAAATAGAAGCACAGCTGTTTTTCTTTTCCAATTTAACTAAGAGAAAAAAACTTGACCAAAATGGAGGGCAGGCTGTTCATTCGGTCAGTGATCAAGATGGCGCCGGTGAGTGCGGCAGCCGTCGTACCTGCTCCAGCACCATTCCAACTTTTCTTATTATTTATCTTTTTATTTATCTTTCTGCACTGCGTTCACCATGTCATGTCCTTGTTGTATCAAATACGACAGAGACACACTGGTGAACATTGGCTTTTCACCATATTACACCACTTTTTCTGCCGATGCGTCCTGGCCCAGCGAGATCCTGCGGGTGCCCCCCAACAACAACAACAGAGGACGCTGGCAGCGTAACAGGCCCCGTGGGAAACGAGCTGCCATTAGGAACAGGTTGAGGCTACGAGCACGCCGACCACCACTGCCTAGCATCCTACTCGCAAACGTCCAGTCCCCGGACAACAAGCTGGACGAGCTCAGAGCCAGGATCAGGTACCAGAGGGACACAAGAGACTGCAATATCATCTGACGGAGACATGGCTGACCTCCTCCGTACCGGACCACGCCGTTCAACAAGCGGAGTTCTTCACACTTCATCGTATGGACAGAATGGCTGAGTCGGGGAAGTCTAGAGGCGGGGCATCTGTCTTATGACCAACAACAACTGGTGCAGAGATGTTGTGTGTCTCTCTAAGTCCTGCTCGCCCAACCTGGAACTTTTAACCATCAAATGCCTGGCCTTTCTATCTCCCCCGAGAATTCACCTCCGTTATTTTCAGCGCCGTCTACATCCACCCACAGGCAGACACGGACACTGCATTAGCCGAGCTACATGAGGCTATCTCCAGCTACCAGGCTAACCAGCGGGAGGCAGCCCTCATCGTGGCTGGGACTTTTAACAGTGCCAGCTTGCGGAAGGCGATGCCAGAACTCCACCAGCACCTTCCCCTTCGCCTTCCACACCAGAGGAGACAGAACTTTGGACCACTGTTACTTTCCCTTCAGAGACGGCTATGCAGCAAAGTCACAACCACCATTCGGCAGGTCAGACCACGCCTCCGTTCTCCTTCTGCCCAGGTACAAACAGCGGCTGAAGCGGGCAGCCCCGGTGGAGAGAGAAGTGTCGTGCTGGTCTGACCAATCAGAGGCCGCCCTGCAGGATGCCTTGGAGACAACAGACTGGGACATGTTCCAACGCAGCTCCGGTGATGACGTCAGTTTGTTTACGGTTGTGGGATTTATTGGGAAACTAGTGGAGGACACTATCCCCAAAAGAACCATCAGGGAGTTCCCCAATCAGAAGCCATGGATGAACAAAGGCATCCGCGACGCTCTGAAGTCTCGCCGCTACGTACAGCGTCCGCAGAGCCGTGAGGGAGGCCAAGCAGAGGTAAGGGGAGAAGCTGGAGTCACAGCTGCAGCGAAGGGACATCAGGGGACTGTGGCAGGGACTACGAACAGTGACGGAGTACAAAGCAACACCGATGCCCATGGTGAGTGCTGACATCTCTCTGGCCGACGAACTCAACAACTTTTATCATCCTGCCCGGCAGAGAGGAGGAGATGCGGACCGCGACGGAGCATGAAATGAGGCGGATGTTTCAGCGCGTGAATACCAGGAAAGCTGCAGGACCTGACGGTATAACTGGCCGTGTCCTGAAAACCTGTGCCAACCAGCTTGCACCGGTGTTCACAGAAATATTCAACCTCTCGCTCTCCCAGTGCATCATCCCCAGGTGCTTTAAACAGTCTGTGATTGTTCCCGTCCCCAAGAAAGCCAAGCCCAGCTGTCTTATTGACTACCGGCCCATTGCCCTCACCTCTGTGGTGATGAAATGTTTTGAAAGACTGATCAGAAACTTCACCTCCTCCCTACCTGCCTCCCTGGACCCCCTACAGTTCACATACTGGCCAAACAGATCCACAGACAACGCCATAAATCACCTGCTTCACACAGCCCTGGCCCACCTGGACACTAGGAAGGGGTATTATGTGAGAATGCTGTTCATGGACTTCAGTTCAGCGTTCAACACCATAATCCCCTCCAGACTGGTCACTAAGCTGCAGGACCTTGGACTCACCTCCTCCCTATGCAGGTGGGTCTATAGCTTTTTGACCAGCAGACCACAGGTGGTTCGAGTGGGGAACCACCTGTCCCCCTCACGCACCCTGAACATCGGTGCCCCCCAGGGCTGTGTGCTGAGCCCTCTGCTTTACTCCCTGTACACCAATGACTGCCTGTCCACATCAGACTCTAACACCATCAGTAAGTTTGCTGATGACACAGCAGTGGTGGGCCTGATCTCCAACAACAACGAGGAGGACTGTTTGATGGAGATCACCCACCTGGAGGACTGGTGCAGAGACAACAGCCTCCTCCTGAACGTCAGCAAGACCAAGGAGCTGATTGTGGACTACAGCAAGAAGCAGCAGAGGGCAGACCACCCACTCAGGATCAGCGGGACAAAGGTGGAGCAAGTGGAGAGCTTCAAGTACCTGGGTGTTAACATCACGCAGGACCTGACATGGTCCTATCACATCAACACCCTGGTGAAGAAGGCTCGACAGCGTCTCTACTTCCTCCGACGACTGAGGGACTTTAAGCTCCCTCTCAAGGTGCTCAGGAACTTTTACACCTGCACCATTGAGAGTGTTTTGGCAGGGAGTATCACCACCTGGATGGGCAGCAGCACCCAGCAGGACTTCTTGGCCCTGAGAAGGGTGGTCCGCTTGGCTGAGCGCACCATCAGAACCACCCTCCCCAACCTGCAGGACATTTACATGAAACGATGCAGGTTAAAGGCCAGGAAGATTGTGAGTGAGCCCACCCACCCTAGCCACAGACTGTTCTCTCTGCTGCCATCAGGGTGGCGTTACCGCTGCCTGAAGGCAAACACAGAGAGGATGAGGAGGAGCTACTTTCCTCAGGCAGTCTGCCGGCTGAACCTCAAACAATAGACAATCAAACTGGTCACTTGCACTTTCACCTGTATACATACAGTTATATATAGTATTATTTCTTTATTTATTCCATCTCTGTTTGTACTGTTTGAAATTTGATCTATTTATTTTGCTTTATTTTTAACCCCTTTATTTCTCTCTCCCTATATATATGTGTGTGTGTGTGTGTGTGTGTATATATATATAGAGATAGATATACTCATATATATATTTACTACCTGTGTGTTTATCCTTATTTTTATTCATTTCTTAACATTGTTTTGGTGTGGAACAGTACGCAAAACATTTCACTGCAAGTTATACCATGTATGACTGTGTTTGTGATAAATAAAGACCTTGAAGTGTCTCTGCTGTCCAGTGTGATGTAACTAAGACCTTAAAGAACTTGACAAAAAGAGGAAAAAAGTCAAAAGAAGTGTAGAAACAGAACACTGCACCAGTGGAGTGACACATGGACAAAATAACTGTCCAAATATTTAAAAATGTAGTATATAAGAAGTATAGGCTTCATGCTTAACACTGCGGACACCTACAGGCTTCAGGTTTGTTAAAGACAGCAGACAGCTTGAATCAAAATATGAATTTTAAGTCATACTTCAGGGTTGAGCCAGAGTTAAGCATGCTGAACTCTGGGTGGAATCAACAGCATGTGCTCAAAGTACGCAAGTCCATGTTAAAATGTTAGATATAACATCCCTCGCTGCTTTTTTTGTTTGTTTTACTAAGCATACATGGAAGTTTCTCATATGCCTCAGCTGAGAAGGACTGTACAGTTTACAGCTACAGTTCATTCACTGTGAGTAACCCTCGCTGAGAGCATTAAACACGTTGTCTCTCTGCAAAGGTCAGACTGATAAATACTAATCTTTGTGCATAATATCAGCACCATTTGAGAATCAGGCCCAACACACAACCTGACAAGCTTGATTCAGCTCTGGTCCAGTGTTATACCCAGATTTTGACGAGAATACCAATTTTCTATCAAAATGTCTGGAACTGTTACAGCGCAAGAGAGCAAAAGAGATTATCAATATCAGTGCAGTTTGGTCAGGCAGTGGATTAGCAGTCATGTTTGAAGGTTTTGTATCAGTTGTACTCCACTCTGTTGGTTAAGCAGGTAATGTATGAGTCATACAGATAGTTAAGGTAGACGCTAAATCTTCGTCTGAGCATGTTGGTGATGTGAACCGAATAAAATTCTGTACGTCTCAATAATCAGTTTCAGGTAAAAGTTCAGATGTCTTCGCTGCATTACTTGGCCTAACAGATGCCATGTGTTCCTCAGGTTGTAATACCTCGTAGTCCAGTGCAGGCCAAAGGGCTGCTCCTCTCCTGCATCGCTGACAAGAACCCATGCATATTCTTTGAGCCCAAGATTCTGTACAGAGCAGCAGGTAAGCCAGTTTGTGTGTGAATATGAAGTCAACATGTAACTGAGGCTTGTTTATTTCTGTTCATTTGTTCCCCGTGATATTCAGCTTCCTCCAGCTTCATGCCTCGCTGGCCTCTCTATGTGTTTTCCTGGATTCTTTATGGAAAACATTTTTTTTCCCCCTTGTTAGAAGTGTGAGGCAAGACAAACAATATGCCTGACTGCAAACAATGTGAGTGAGATCAGCAGGACCACAGGTGTGAAGCAGACTGTCTAAATGGACTGTGAAGTGTTGACAGTGCTGAGCTGAATCCTCTGCCCCTCCCTCCTTGTGTGGAGGGAACATCAGTCTCTAGCATGGATAAACCCAAGGCCTGCATGGCTTTGGGCAGGCTGCCGTGCAAAAAGGTGTCCAGCAATGCTGTAATAAACTCTCAGCAGTTCTTGGCAGCTGTTGCAAAACAGTGCTGCCTTGGTTACATGATAATAATTTGATATCCATGACTTAAGACAGCGATGGAGACTTATTATAATAATAAAATACACAACTGTAGGAGATTGGTACTGCCATCCTCAAAGAAAAGTCTCTGATTTTTTTTTGGTTTCCTGCTTAGATAGGAGCCAGATGAGATTGTGAAATATGTCTGCAAACCAGGTCTCTGTTCTTTAGTAGTTTGTGCAGAGGGAGAGATAAAGATATTTAAGACAAAGATTTATGACCCCAGTGTCCGACTTCAAAAATCCTTCCCTTATACGTCCCATGTTGTACCCCTATTTAGAAATTTAATAAACTAATTAATGAAAGCACCGAAGCACAAAAGGTGACATGAAAACACAGTAACCCACCCAGTACTTGTCTCATGGTTTTAGGTCTGTTTTTAAGTTTCCACTTTGTGAGATTTTTCCTCAGCATGACATATGTATCACCCTGACTTGTGAGCATACAATCAAAACTAATAACCTTAGCCCCATTAGCAACACAGCACACTAACTGTATGGAATTTCCGATTGTTGTGGGAAAGTTTCCATCAAAAATAAATCCACTTGGTCTTTAGTTCCTTACATGCTGAGTGCACGAAGACTGTTGGGTTTGCTTTTGTAACCAACAACATGCCATTTGCTTACAGTTTTAAATAGTTGCCCAGTTTCTATGTACAAACTGCACAACATTCTTACAGGCTTGTAAGGCTGGAAGGCCATCTGGTTGAGGAGGGCAAGAGGAAAGTAAGAGCATCCTCATATTTTCTTTTGTTTTGCACAAACCAAACATAATAAAAACAGATGATTACAACATGGGATCTTTTGTTAGACAATATAACATGTTGTGGCTGCCTCTGTTGTTAAAACACCATGTATAGACACTGAATGTGTAGAAAAAAATATAAATGCATATGCAAGCTATGTTTCATCATCATTGTTATCTTTAGTGACTCTCAGCTGGGGCCTAAAATCTACTTTGTGGTTGTGAAAGAATTGTCTGACAAGAGATGTGAAATTGTGTTACAAGCATTCTTATTATTATTATCATCACAAGGCAGCTGAGAGCAGGTGTCGAAGTGTCTCTGCGGTGTTATCGTTTGTTTGTTTTTCAGTAGAAATTATTAGCCCCTCGGGGAGCGATGAGATAGCACATCAGTAATGTACTGTATGCAAGAGTGAAATTGCTCAGTGTGTCATTTCTTGCGTCAATTCCCGATGGAATAATGCCAGATATAATACGTTTTTACGAGGGGACAAGAAGATACTGGTTAATCAGTCAAGTGAAAAGAACAGTTGAGACAGCTAGTTTTGTCAAGCTCAAATGAAGACTTCACTTTTTGATTCCCTCCTTCAGTGATCAGTAGTCATGTCTGTGTGCAACTTCTTTCAGACATGGAATACATAGTTTTTGCTTTAAGTGGTGCCTTTGGGTGGCATTTACATTCATGTTTCCGCAGCTTTATTTAGACATGCCAAGACCGTAACAGATAGGACAACGGTGTAGGTTAGGCTGCCTCATCACGTCACCCTCGGCCTGACAGGAAAGCTGCTCTCAATTTTGTCATTTTTGCAAAAAAAGCTTTTACTTGTGTTGACTTTCTCCATGTGGAATTAAGTTACAGCTTTTCCTTGGCTGTTATGAATTGTAGGCACAAGATTTGTGTGTCTGCCTGTCAGTATAACTGCATCTATTGAAACTTGTACTGTGTTCAAAGAGAAATGGATATTCTAGCAGGTCCAACTAGTAAGATTGGCCTTCTGACTTTGACAGAAAAGAGACTGAGGTGCCTATTCAGGCTTGAGACCCACACATTGAATTGCTGCTTGAAAGGGGGTTTTATGTTTTGACAAATCACTCATCTGCTTCACACTGAGGGTTAGTGGTAGTGTGTCAAGAGTTCTTTTGATTTCCTAAAGGGGCAGAGAGAAGCACCTCATGTGGCATATGCCTCTGATGATGTCTGCTTGGATGACGAAGTCATGGTTTTAATTGCAGCAGGCCTCTCTTTTCTCCTGCAGAAGAGGATAAAAACCACACATTTGTGCCATCAGGGCCCTACTATGATGTGGGGCCTGAGATTCCACTTATTAAGCCATAACCTATTTTTCATAATTCAATTTTAACATTCTGAAAAATGCTATTATTCCGCTCAATTGGCCAATTTTCTGTCTCGTCTGGAAGCCTAAACCAGGAGCTGCACATCATTCACCAGAGCACTTGATGTTGTTCTAACATAGAGAGTCGTCGGGATGGGCAATTTTTCTTTCCTTTACGGCTTCTCTGAGGCTCGAAAGGATCATGGAAGCCATTCAAGGTTTCCAGAAAGGTCTCTAACCCAGCGTCTCCCCAGAGGATGATTACTCTGCCTAATTGTAATTTTGACTTTATGCGTTGCCTTGTAGGAATGCTTTTAGTAGTTCAGTTCCTCCAAAATCCACTCAATTTAAGATCCTGTACTCTACAAGTTTAAGAGCCAAAGCCATAATGGTGAAGGAGATTCAAAGACAGTTAAATAATACATTTTGAGATTATATGTTGTGCCTGTGCAGTATAAATATTGCTAATAAGCTGCTTGTTTGAAAGTGTTGGCAGTTTGAGTTTATGATAAGATTTGCGTTGTAATAATTTCCATGACTTTGCTAATGTTTTCCAAGACATTAATAACTATTATTCAAACCATATACTTACATGCACTTTGTCTTGGACGTCAGTTCAAAGACACACTGGCTGTGAGGCTCCCCCTTTTGGACTGATATTTCAATTCTGTGGCCCCTTTTCTGATTAGTACCCCATCCCACAAATGTTTTGTTGTCAAGATTAGTCACAGTTGTAGGCCCGTAGCTGGCAAATGAGCACATTAGATCATGCATAAGATTGTGCTGATAAAAGCACACTGCCTCTGGTGAGAGATGAGGTTCTGGAAAAAGCACGACGACACATATGAAATGGGCCAGATAAAATGTTCTAGAGTAGGAATTGTGTTTTTACACGGCCTGTTATTTTACCAGTTTGTCATCTAGTCTATCATTCAGAGCTACGGTCAGTTTGGAGGTCTGGGTATTCTACATGGAAGCAGCACATCTCAGAGTGAAATGATGAATGAATGCAGTCAGGATTGAGCCTCATTTATTTTGCATGTGATCTTACATATAATGGATTTGAATGTGTTTCCTCAGTGGAGCAGGTTCCCGAGGAACCTTACACCATCCCACTGTCGCAGGCCGAGATCCTACAAGAAGGGAGTGACGTCACTCTGGTTGCCTGGGGGACACAGGTAAGGCCACTCTGTGCAGTTTTAAGATGTCATCTATCTTTGGCTCATTTTTCATGGCCACGGGAAGAAAGGTGCCATGTCTCATCTCCACTAGATGACGTTTAAAGCCACAGAGGCTAGCAGTGGATTAACTTTAAGTCCATCACAAGCCCCCTCCGTCCCAGCAAGGTCTCTCAGCCAGCTGTCTGAGACTCAGACGTCTTCACAACATCAAGGCTGTACTCGGCTCTCCGCGTGTTAACACTACATGCCTGCTGCACACTATAGCCATTGTTTCCTTTCTTTTCATCTGAGAGATTTTATTTTCTGCAGCTTCGTATAAAGGGGCGTGTAACTCACTGGGAGTCATCCCCGACTTCGATTGTACCCGGCCACTTTAACAGGCTTATCCAGGGCTTAATGTACCTGTGGCGTGGCAGGGGGGTTGGAGGGCATTGAAGGAAAACAACTCCATCAAAGCCAGTATTATTGTTAAGGGTGGACGGAGAAGAAAGAGGATGCAGTAAAGTAGTGGAAAGCATGGTGCTCCTTTTCGAAGTGATATTCTTTTTGTCCCCACCTCATTACTCCCGTCGTCCGTCAGGCCTGTGCAGATGAGAGGCGAGAAAACAGCTTGTACAGAGTGGAGTCAAGGGAGCAGTACCCAGGCTTCACAGCAAATTCCTGATCATTCAAACAAGGAAGTCCTTTTCGTAATTCATTTTTGTTTTCCTCAGAGACATTACCTTAGTCTGCTACAAATAATGCAAAGGTGACACAATAAAATATACAATACTTCCAATTATTGTGCTCATTTATTAGGTTAGGACTGGTGCCTGTATCTTTCTAACTGGTCTGACTGCTGACAACTCTTATCCTTGAGATTATTCACATCTGTCACAGCAGTTTTATTTGGAAGCAGCCAATAATGACTGCCAGTAAATATGGGCTGATTTGACATCTAACTTGTTATGAGTTTTAAATTGCTGTGCTCTGTTTATCACTCAAGCTGTTTTGGCTTCTTAAATACAATAAAAACTATGCCTAAAATATTATCATTAATATTAAAATACATTTTACCACCACAAGTATAGCACTTCAAAGTTATAAAGCTGATGTAAGCATGAGAAGTACTTATACAATACCACGATTTAACATAATACATCATCAGGCTGTGAACCATTTCTTAATAAATGCGTATTGTAGTGAGAAAAGGCAAAGCTTTCATTTTGCAAATCCAAGGCCAGCGTGTCAGTGCCAGTTTTGTTTTCAAAAACAGAAAAATCTTTGTACTGTATTGCAGTAAGGTTGCAATTTCAAAACTGGAACTATGCTGCTTGTATTATGATAAATATTGAACTCTGCAGCATCTGGACATAATTTGAAAAATGTGCATGTTTATTGTCAGTCATTTAATTTTTTAAAAATTTTGTCAGTGTAAGCCTGTTGAAATTGAAACACAGCAAATGTAAGGCAGAATTTTTGTTGTAGCAGTAGCCAAACTGCAAACTGCATTATCCCATTTGATTAGAAGGCTTTCTTCCTGTTCTTTTCATGTCACATTTAGATCCATGTGATGAGGGAGGTGGCCGCCATGGCTCAAGAAAAACTGGGGGTATCCTGCGAACTCATCGATCTACGGACCATCCTGCCCTGGGATACTGAAACTGTTTGCAAGGTAACAGACATGTGCACCCACCCTCAGAAACACAGCAACCTTAACAAAAAGCATCTATTTTAGTGCTGCTTGACAAAATGAACAACAAAGAGGTATCTTTTGAGCACCAGTTGGGGAGAAGCAGCTCGTCCACATTCTGAATTCCCAAGGGATTACTTTGACACTTGTTTAAATCATTTCAGTTGTCATGTGACATAAATACTGTTGTTCATTGGAACCATCTTAGTGCTATATTTGTGTTTATTGTGGTGCACTGTGAGGCAATTTTCCTCTGGACTTGTGGTTGTCTTTGGTGCTTGATAAACAGGATTCCTTCCACTGCTGGTAACACTTGAATACGAGTTAATGTTGCCTCAGCTTGATCCAGGCTATGGCGCTCACCAAAACAAAATATTTCATTTGAGAGGGCTTTGAGAAAAGAGCTTGCTTTCCAGTGGGTATTCCATCTTTATTTATTTTGAAATGGAGGAAGGGGCATGACACAAGACAGTTTGGGAAATAGTGGCATAGAAGGATTCTTTCCTGCTCACCAGAGGCCAGTGTCAGTAGACTAAACCACCAGCAGACCAGCCAGAGAAGGTCTGATGCTTTGAAGAGCTCTTTGGAAATTAAAACCAAAGGTGTGTGTGTGTGTGAATGCAGACCTCAAAGAGCTTCACAGCAGGAGATGAACTGCGATTATGCATCTTCCCCACACTTGGCCGCTGCCTTTTAAATGGCCCTTAAATATATTCCGAGCTGTCTTTCTGTGTCAACACGGCTGCTTTTTCACAGTTGAGTAACCACATATTTTTTAATTTTTTCATATTTATTACCCGTGCTTCATACTCCTCTGGTGAAACTTATGACTTTGTCAGCGAGCACCACGCTGCTCCTGCTGCCAAGCAAATCTTATAACCAACAGTTAAAGCACAGGATGAAACTGCGGTAGGAGGGAAGTAATTTAATAGGGAGTCAACTGGAACTGATGGCAGAGACTGCAGTATTGTGCTGGCACTGAGCTACTTGCAGCTCAGAGTGAGCAGTAGTCAGTTACAGATTGTTTAAAAGGGGCTTATCAAGTGAATGTGATCTTTTTTTCTGAAGTAGTGCCCCATTAAAACAGCTGCCATGAAATTGAATAGTGTGTTTATGTGCTGCTTAGTGGGCCTAATGCCAGGCCTGCCACCTCGAGCTTGTCAACAGCATCTCTGTTTGCTATTTCCTCCAACCAAGTGCCCCTTAAACATCTGTCAAACCAATTGCTCCGACACACACACACGCGCGCGCACACACACGCTAACTCACTCCTCGTTCCTTCTTTCATATTTGGCAGTAACACCCACTGTTGCGTTACACTGATACCCTGCTATCCCCAGTGTTTTTATTTTTTTCCTCCATTGAGGTCCTTTGTTCTGGACTACTCTGCTGCCAGAGCAGAAAAACAGCCTTTTAATCAAGCTATTATCACATTTAGTGACGGCACAGAATTCATTTCAGTCTAAATCATGATTATAATCACCCAGACTAATGCATAGGAATACGCATTAAGAGCTTTTATTTTATCTTTTAATTAATCTGAGGCGCACAGGCAGAAATCCAGGTGTGCATCATTCATAATGAAAACAAATGTGAATAGCTTATTAGACTTGACATCACAAGAAGAGTGTAGTGGAATCGACAGCGGTTAGACTCACAGATGCAAGATCGTGTTCATTTGATGCATAAAAGGAGCTGAAGGCATAAGACTGAGATGACCTTTGGCTATCCACAGGCAGTAATGTCTGCTATTGTTTGTTTCTAATGCTTGCTAGGAACTTTGTCTTTGTTGCTGCTTCCTCTGTATGATTAATCAACCTGTTACGGATACATTTTAATCATTAATAAGAGGGTGTGTTGTGTGCTCTTTGTTTTTTACGTTTGGGTTATTTTTCATGTCATGAAATGGGATAGTGTTAAAACAATTAGTCAGTTCATTGGGCATTTAGCAAGTTTCTAATTTGTTAGTTAATTATTTCCTTATTCATATTTTTTTGCTTCCAGCTTATCAAATGTGAGGATCGACAATTATTGTTTTCTGTAGTTGAAAATTGAATAGTTTTGTTTTTCGGACTTTTGGTTGAATTAAAAGACAAACATTTAACATGACCTTGAGTTCGTAATGGAAGCATCATGGCTATTTTCATTGTATATCCTGACAATTTGTAAAGCTAATCATTAATCGATTTATGGGGGAGGTAATTAGCAGGTAAAATAGTTCTAAATTATGAACGGGTATATTCAGCTCTTGTCTTCAAATGTAATTCTACTGTACTAAGTACAAGCAAAATACTCGGAGACTGCGCTAATAAAAATCAAAGCCACAACTGATTTAACTTTAGACCCACCTGTTGTCACCAGTGATGAAAGTTGCCTCATTCCGGGCTACTGACTGACGGAGTGTGTGATGTTTTCTTCTCTGCTCCCATTTACGCTTCATGGATAAATTGCGATTACACGCCTGTACGTGGTCAAAAACCTATGTAACACAGGCCTGCTGCAGATGGCACGATGTTTTGCGGTCTTGTGACAGTTGGTCACACATTATTGCATGTGTGGGACTGTGACACGCTCCATGCATGTGCAACACGAACAGTCTTAGAATTAAAAAAAAAAAAAAACTGACTTCATTGTACCATTGACAAAAAAAAAATAGACTCATTATTATCATAATGTTTTAAGCATATACTCCAAAACTGAGTGACAGCATGGATAGACATCCTCTCAGTCTGCCTTGCATGTTTGTGCATAAAATGTATGCCACAACATATGTTTGAATCTGTCAGACAGTAAAATTCCCATTTAAAATGCACAGAACAGCACCAAAAAAAAATAAAAAATACCCACTTTTTTGTAACAATGAGAATACATTCAAAGGCATTAAATGAGAAACAGGCCCATGTGTGTCCTCAGTAACCCTGCACAGTGGTGCCCTAACTACTGGGTGCTGCACAGCTGCTCTGGCATGACTTTAAATGTCTGAGAATCAGCAGAGCTGCAGCCACAGAACCATCTAAGAGTTTCGTCACACTGCGGCCCACCCATGCAGGACTTGTTTTAACAGAATGTCTATACAAAGCACCATATTGGAGCTGCAACGACTGTAAAATTCTTAATAATTTGCTTTTGTGACAAATCAATTCATTGTTTAGTCAAAAAAAAAGTCATTTTTTAAAACATTTTCTGACCAATACTTCGAAACTCAGAAATATTTAATTCATACTAATTAAAAACAGAACAAAATAGTAAATCCTTACACCTCCAAAAAGCAAATGTTGATATTGATGCTCACTTTCTTCACATAGTAAGACGTCATGCAATGCTTGACACCAGATTTAGTCATCACGCTGACAAGAACTATATATTTGTCAAAATATTACATGACTATTGTTATTAAGTGTAACAGCAAAACAAGAAGCAATACCATCAGAGCAGTAGCTGGTCACTGTCACTACTCACACTCTCTTCGAGGTCTGAATTAGTTTCTCTGGCAGTTAGAGTATGACAGTCTGTCTGAGCTCCTTACCATCTTTGGCAGCTGTAATTATTGGCTGTTCGACACCGTTCAGTCTTCATTGTGTTTTCGGAACTAATTTTTAATTCTCATTTTAAAATTTCTACTGAAGTAGCAACCTATTGAAGTAGATCCTACAGAAATATCTGCAGGTGAAATTGCACCAATAAAACATCTTCAAAGCTGACTGACTAAAAGATGCGCTACAAACAAGACTTGCCTCTTCTCATGACTGCTGTTACTTTAATGACAAAGATGTTGCAGGATCCTAGGTTATATTTTCATCACTGTGTAGTCCTGAGGCACTGTGTAGTGTAAAAACCACAGAATAGTGGACAGTGGAAATGTTTTCTGCTCAGTAAATAAAGTGTTGCCATTCAAAAAGGGTATTCTCCTGTGATAAACAGATTTTTGGGACCAGTGCTATTCTTAGCTGTAGAGAGGGAGTAGCCATAACATTGTGTCAGCTTCTTAATTCAAAAGCTTGTGCACCTGGTGTCCAGCTTTTCCGGCATGCACTCGTCTTTGTAAAGCTGGCCTTTTGTACTGCTTATTAACTGGACGTCAGATGCGGCAAGTGTGCAGACAGGGAGATAGGCCACAGACACACATCCGGATGCTGGCAGCCAATTAAAATTTTTCATGTCCTCTGAGTCACATTTACCTTGCGTATCTTTCAGTCTAGGATGTGTGCACGAGTGGGTGTGTGTGTGTGTTCTGTGGTGAGCTGATTTATATGTAGCCTGTGAGTTGTTTTGGAGCTTGCATGTGTAAAATAAATGAAGAATGATGTGTCTTACAGAATGAGAGATCATTAAGGCAGCGCTATGGAGGAACATGCCATCTTTTTTTTTTCCTGAGGGATCCATTCTGGCAGCCACCAGCTATACTTGGATCTAAATATATTCAACCCTCTTGTTGACAAAAGGGAATCATGGGCAGAAATTGCTGTAAAAGTACAGAAAAAGTGAGTGTATTTTATTTTGTCCCACTGTCTGGAGCGGTCCAGTAAATGTTATAGTCGTTCTTTAAGGGATAAACAAAATGGCTGGTTTACCTCTGCCAGACCCACGGCTCAGATGATATGCTGTGGAAAGTCTTTCTGTCGCGCTTCGGCAGAGTTCATGTGGAATTGTGTAAAGATGCTCATCTTAGGATCACATCCTATATAACAGCTTTTTGATTCCTCACTGAGCAGGCTGCTTCGCTCCCTACTGTTTAATGGCTTTTATTGTTTTTTTTTAGATGGGCATCTAGCCAATATTTCCATCCGTTCTTACATGGATCCACATTTGTTTGACTTGGCCAGTTGGAACTATAAAAATAATTCTCCTTTGCTGTCATTATTCTATTAGTCCGTTGCTGGTGATTCAGCCTCATTCTCAGGTTTTCCAGACTTCAGATCCGACCAGCGAAGAATCTCAGGGACAGTTCGCAATACAGTCATGGGTTTATTCATGGACAAAAG